CTTGAGCAAGATTACAAGGAAGAAATGGAGAAGCAGAAGAAAAAGAAGGCTGGAACACAGATTTTATGATATAAAACTAATAAGACTTAAGACAACACCATTACATCACTTATTGATGCTAAATGAATCAGACTGTAAACAGATCAGAAACTATCCCTTTCGCTATCATTGTTTGCTGTACCTGTCTTGTCCAAGCAGCTACGCAGATAGCTGTCCTGGCAGATGCTTATCAGGGGTATAAATGCAACAAAGCAAATAGACTTTAAAAATCAAGTTTAACTTTCTCCACCATTACTATATCCAGAAACACTCAGCAGTTTTTATCATAATCCAAAAGAAACAAACATCCCTGACATTTGCATTCTGGATATAAGCAACTACTCAAGATAAGCTTAGTCATACGCAGATAGCTGTCCTGGCAGATGCTTATCAGGGGTATAAATGCAACAAAGCAAATAGACTTTAAAAATCAAGTTTAACTTTCTCCACCATTACTATATCCAGAAACACTCAGCAGTTTTTATCATAATCCAAAAGAAACAAACATCCCTGACATTTGCATTCTGGATATAAGCAACTACTCAAGATAAGCTTAGTCATATGTGGGGGGGCCAACACCAGTTGCCCCAGAGATAGAGCTGGCTCCTGCATTAGTAAGACAGCATACAGGATGCCCTGAAGGTCGGGTGGTGGGATGAGTTCTGGAGTGGCCTGTATCAGAGGCAGTAAGGGGGAGAGGTGAGGTGGACAGGGGAGGCAGAGAGCCAGGACTGCATAGTCTTGACTCGCACCGGCTCTAGAAGCCACCCGCATGGCAGCTCTGCCTTTTAAATGCAGTAAGACCCAGGCAGCACTTACTACAATGAAATGGTAGAGCCGCAGCAGCCTGGGACCTGCCGTGAGCTGGGACTGCTGGGTTCCATCTCATGCCGGGTCCTGGGCCTACCGCCGCTGTGGCTCTGCAGTTTAAATGTAGTAGGAGCCAGTCTGCCTGCACACCCAGTCCCTTCTACATTTAAACTGCAGGGCCTCTTATCAACTAATCGTGTACTTGATACAAATTATATCGAGTACATGATTGGCCAATTTCCAGCTTCTTAACATCCTTAGTTTAGACATCTTTCATAGAATCAATCATAGAATCAAAGAATACTAGGACGGAAGAGACCTCAAGGGTCATCGAGTCCAGTCCCCTGCCCTCATGACAAGACCAAATACTGTCTAGACCATGCCTGATAGACATTTATTTAACTTACTCTTAAATATCTTCACAGATGGGGATTCCACGACCACCCTGAGCAATTTATTCCAGTGTTTGACTATCCTGACTATTAGGAACTTTTTCCTAATGTCCAACCTAAACCTCCCTTGTTGCAGTTTAAGCCCATTGCTTCTTGTTCTATCCTCAGAGGCCAAGATGAACAAGTTTTCTTCCTCCTCCTTATGACACCCTTTTAGTTACCTGAAAACTGCTATCATGCCCCCTCTCAATCTTCTCTTTTCTAAACTAAACAAACCCAATTCCTTCTGCCTTCCTTCATCGGTCATGTTCTTTACACCTTTAATCATTCTTGTTGTTCTTCTCTGGACCCTCTCCAATTTCTCCACATCCTTCTTGAAATGCGGTGCCCAGAACTGGACACAATACTCCAACTGAGGCCTAACTAGCACAGAGTAGAGTGGAAGAATGACTTCTCGTGTCTTGCTCACAACACACCTGTTAATGCATCCCAGAATCGTGTTTGCTTTTTCTGCAACAGCATCACACTGCTGACTCATATTCAGCTTGTGGTCCACTATAACCCCTAGATCCCTTTTTGCCATACTCCTTCCTAGACAGTCACTTCCCATTCTGTATGTGTGAAACTGGATGTTCCTTCCTAAGTGGAGCACTTTGCATTTGTCCTTATTAAACTTCATCCTGTTTACCTCAGATCATTTCTCCAATTTGTCCAGATCATTTTGAATTATGACCCTATCCTCCAGATTAGTCGCAACCCCTCCCAGCTTGGTATCATCTGCAAACTTAATAAGCGTGCTTTCTATGCCAATATCTAAATAGTTGATGAAGATATTGAAGAGAGCCGGTCCCAAAACAGACCCCTGCAGAACCCCACTTGTTATACCTTTCCAGCAGGATTGTGAACCATTAATAACTACTCTCTGAGTACAGTTATCCAGCCAGTTATGCACCCACCTTATAGGAGTCCCATCTAAGTTGTATTTGCCTAGTTTATTGATAAGAAGATCATGCGAGACCGTATCAAACGCCTTACTAAAGTCTAGGTATACCACATCCACCGCTTCTCCCTTATCCACAAGACTCATTATCCTATCAAAAAAAGCTATCAGATTGGTTTGACTTGATTTGTTCTTTACAAATCCATGATGGCTGTTCCCTATCACCTTGCCATCTTCCAGGTGTTTACAGATGATTTCCTTAATTACCTACTCCATTATCTTTCCTGGCACAGAAGTTAAACTAACTGGTCTGTAGTTTCCTGGGTTGTTCTTATTTCCCTTTTTATAAATGGGTACTATATTTGCCCTTTTCCAGTCTTCTGGAATCACTCCTGTCTTCCATGATTTTCCAAAGATGATAGCTAGAGGCTCAGATATCTTTAAGGCACAAAGAAAGACTTATCTGCTTGATTACATCTTTTGGTTCTAATAGGGGGGGTGCTAGAAAGGGAATATAAACTTGAGGAACTTTCTGGCTTTGTGGTCACCACTGCCACTTTATAAAGCAGTTACCTTTTTGTACTCACAATGTGCACAACCCCTAGAAACTATAGAAAAACATTATCTCCATTTTACAAATGGAGAAACTGAGGCACAGAGCAATAAAGGATAAGGCTTTCTTTGAAGATTAGCACCTGTGTCTGAGCATCAGGATTAGTCTAATCCAGGTGTGAGTGGTCACACAGCAAAGCTCCAAGTTATTGTGCACTCATTGGTGCTGCACTCCTTCATGTGCATCAATAGGACTTCAGAGAATAGACCCTATGATTCTTTGTGCTGCACTAAACTAAGACACTTTATCATTCTTTCCCAGAGAATTGTGGAAGAATTTGTCTGTCTTACTGGGCACACAGTGGAATTGTGGGAAGGCCCTAGAGGACTATCAGCACCGTGTCCTCATTGCAAGATTAGTGAGTTGCTAGCTCCAGTGAAGTAGAGCCTCAACTTTCACCTAGACCCCCCCCAACTAGCCAGGGTTAATGGCTTCAGTAAAATCGCTGTACACATATGCAAGGAGAGTTGGGGCAATAGCCTGGGCTACCTTTCCAATGGACACAAACCCAATAGGACTTACTTGTCCAAGAAACAGAAAGTTAAGAGCAGGGACAAGATTAAGACTAAACTTGTGCTCATGCCTCTGAATGATGCAGCCTTCCCTGTACATAAACATACACAGGTTCTCTTAGCTGTCTAATGCTAAGGGTACAAGGTGGCTGAGGTTCAGTGGTGATTCTATGATTATTCAGCAATACAAGCTCCTGTAGCAGCAATGTGAGATGAGAGAAATGCAAGGGCCCCTCTCTGCGCAAACTCTGATCTCCTCAAATCTGGAACTGCTCTTCGCCACAATTGACAGAAAGGCTCTCGATGTCACAAGTACTAGAGTCCCCCATTAAACATGCAACTCCCAAAGCAGATATCCAAGAAAAAAAAGCAGCCTAAAGATCAGTTATTTGGGTCTAAAAAGAAATTGACTTCCTGGGACACCAAGCTACCAGCTGCCTAGAAATGCTGACTGAAGAGGGGCAAAATCCTTCAGATGGAGTTTCTGCTCCCCTTTGCAGAACCACAGCATCATCATGCTTTGGCAGCATCAAGGTGCCAATCCCAAAGCAGATATCCAAGAAAAAAAAGCAGCCTAAAGATCAGTTATTTGGGTCTAAAAAGAAATTGACTTCCTGGGACACCAAGCTACCAGCTGCCTAGAAATGCTGACTGAAGAGGGGCAAAATCCTTCAGATGGAGTTTCTGCTCCCCTTTGCAGAACCACAGCATCATCATGCTTTGGCAGCATCAAGGTGCCAACTCCTCATCTTCCCAGCCAGGCCCAGGGGGCAGCCGTGGGGAACACAGGCCACTGCAATAAATATAGATCACGAGCACCCCAGCACTCACCTCCACAGAAGCTCTGCAGCCCTACCAGGCCATACCCCTCCCGTCTCCCAACCAGCTCTCACCTCAGGATGCCAGACCCCCAAGATCCCATCAGGGATTAGGACCCCTAACGCACCCTTTTCTGGGGTGGCACGCCCAACTCCACCAAGCCTAACCCCTACTGGGGTTCTGCTTTTTCAGATCTCTTCCCTCCCCAGCTCTGCCACTGAAGCTCTGCAGCCCTACCAGGCCATACCCCTCCCGTCTCCCAACCAGCTCTCACCTCAGGATGCCAGACCCCCAAGATCCCATCAGGGATTAGGACCCCTAACGCACCCTTTTCTGGGGTGGCACGCCCAACTCCACCAAGCCTAACCCCTACTGGGGTTCTGCTTTTTCAGATCTCTTCCCTCCCCAGCTCTGCCACTGGAATG